AACTTTGGTGATTTGGGTGAGTATAGACTAGAGTCCCAACCTGACTGGTCTAGTGTTGGACCGACTGGCCAGACAGGCAGCGATTCAACAAGAGCAGGCCCCATAATACTCATCCAAGCATGGGGAAGGTACAGCAGACATGGGCTCTTTTACAGGTGTAACTCCCACAGAGGGTTATCCTGGCATGGACTCAACCCTGACCAGCTTTAGCGAATCCAGACATGATCCCTCCAGCCCAACCAGTGAGGGACCTAGAGAACCAAGAATGGGGTTCGGGACCAATACTAGCAACAACACCTGAGGTGAAGCAGCAGCAGAGGAGGTAGACAGAAGTGGCAGGCCATCAACCCCCAAGTCCTGTGGTTCTCCTGTTAGCACTAGACAGATGCACAGCAAGGTCTGGCAGCTCAAGCAGTGAGTCCACAGTGAAAAGTTAGAGGAGCACGGATGGCAATTTGGGCAGACGAGGTGGAGAACGTACCGGTCTCCAATGCAGTAGTGCGATAGTCCAGTATACAGAAATACACATGGAGAGGGGCGCTTGAGAGGTGCCACAATAGGATGGTGTGTGTTGAAAGGCAAGAAGTTAGGCTGCTCATTTACTCAACTGACCAGTGATGAGAGTTCAAGAACCACAAAACAAGGAGCGTCTAGTCCTGCAACAACTTGAGGGTAAATACCCCACTCTGAAAGCCCAAGGAACACCAGGAAATATGCATAAAATGTCACAACTTTATAATGAAAAAAGTCACATAAGCAGCAACATACCAATTCACAAGATGAATTCATAAGACTCACAAGCCCTCTGGGTGGAAGATGCTAAACCCGAATGGGACAGGGTGGAAGAATTGACCAGGAAGGTGAACTGAGGTGACACCAGTCGCCGGAGACACCAAACCTTGGCCTGCTCCAGCCGGAAGTGAGAGTCCAGTATGACAGCCCAGTGTCCAGAATCTCTAAACCTCTGAGAAAGAGTAAGAAAAACTAGCCATCAGTGTTAACCCTTCCTTCTTAGATCCACCAACCTAGCAGGTCAACCTAAGGACACTGTACACACATCCACATTATAACAGTTTAGTTGTACTAATAAAACTATTGATCTGATGAACCCAGAACATAAGTCAGCACAACAGAAAAATCCCACTGGAAGCACCTGCTTACAGAGCGACCCCCTGTGATCACTTTGCAACAGGGCAGCCACTCAACATGGAACCCAGAAGACAGCAGTGATCACTATACAAGTGACAACTACTACAGTGATTCTCCACTTCCATATCTGTATAAGAAATAACCCTGTAGATTGTTGATCCAGGGAGTATCCAATCTCCCTTGTGCATCAGGAAGGATTCTTTTTCTCGCTGGTGCAACTGGGCAATGCTTTATGAGTTTATTTTGTCTCTCATGATCAACTATGGGTTTAATGTTCTGAGAATTGCTCTATTTTTGTCTTTAGGTTGAATCTAAACGACATGTGTCTTTTTTTTTACCATTTTTATGAAACTATGGAAAGGTGGCCATACATGAATTGAAATTTGACCTATCCAGCAGGGAGGGGCTACATTTTGATCCATGGGGGACAGTGCTTGTACAGAAGTCAATCTACCATCCTGTTGGGTTTTTCCCACTCAATCTATGCCACCATCTATAACCAGCAGCCCTTATCATTGTATTCTGACAGTGGGGAAGTTTCCCTTCCATCAAAACATAATAGTTTAGCGATAGTGATTCTCCCATCTACCTTGAATATGTGGATGGGGAAATAGGGTCATTTGTGGTTGAACAAAAAAACAAGATGATTATTGTATGGGCAGCTTAACAATAATGTGAACTGTAGATGAGAATGCACAGATAGTAGCAGCATTAGACCGCCACCATAAACAGAAATCCTACCCATATCCATCATCAAGTAGGCACTGCATGTAACAGAAACAGCCCTTAATAAATGATGCAACAGAGGCCCTGGGGGGGAAATAGCCCCCATCTGCGTTTGCAGGGAATTCATCATGTCTAAAAGGTTCACAGCAATGATCATCAGGTCAATGAGAAATCTACATGCTGTGATTTCCAATTAAAATACAGCCAAGGGAATGAAACACTCCGAATTGTCATACTTATAAAACATTATTTATGTAAATGTCAAAAACGATAGATAAAACACACAAAAGTTACATAGATAGACAGACATGATAATGTACCTCCTGCTGTAAATTATAAGAATATCAGGATTCACAGAGAAGTTCAATGTCAATAGAAACGCAGAAGGCTACACCTTGTGCATTTGTAAAGGTCACAGAAATCCAATTTATTGGAGGCCGTAAGTTATTCCCTATAATATGTAATAAGGAGTTCACTAGTGGATAGTTTGCAGCTTAATTAAGTGATATTTACTGAATCTTGCAGTTGGACTAAGTTAAAAATGTCTGGCGGTTCCAGTGGAGGACATTTGCTGAAGCAAAGGGTTTTTATTTTCCAACATGAAGAATTTAAATAACAAAGTGGTTGATAGTATGGCATAGGTCTTAGTTGTAGCAAGCAGGAGCAATTGTACTATGATCTGCATGAGTGCTGAAAACATATACCAAAAGGATGGAGGCTGCTAATTTAAAGTGTTACTAAACCCAGGACCCTGCATTCACTATATCTGGTCTCCCACAGTACACAGAACATGGAAATGCAATTATTTTAGTAAATATAAACTGCTAAATACCTTTTCTCATCAGCTATATATAGCAGTCTTATGACTTCTAGCAGTGTCCAGCCGAGCACTGGTTAAAGCTTGTAGGAAAAGTTTTCATTCTGCTCTAGGAAGATTTAGAACTCTGACCTCTGTCTGGACAGTGCTGATTGGCCTTGTGCTGATCACATGCACTCTCTCAAGGAAAAAAAAACCTCTCTAGCAATAAGCACCAAACTGAGTATGTGCAGAGTGACTCCACACGATATGTCTTATTAGGATATAGGAGGGGGACACTGGAAGAAGGGAAAGATCAGAGAAGACAGGATCAAACAGAGTTTTTACACAATGCAAATGATTAACCCCTTAGCTTCCACAGTGAGTGCTTGACTGCAAATACAGATTGATTTTACTGTTGTAGGTTTAGTAACACTCTAAAGAATTTGTTGTGCTGTTCATAGGCAGCATTAGTGTCAGGTACCCAGAGTATGTGCCCCTCATCTCTTGAAGAGTCCAATGGGTCCCAAAGCCCCCAGAACACCTACCAAGACACTAGCAAGGTGAAGAATTCCCCCCACTTTACACTGCCACTGTACATTAAGTTGATTTCACAAAGGGGGAAATTTGTACTGTGGGGGGGTTGTTGACTGTTTTGGCTATTAGAAGAATTTATGGTTGGGAGTGGTGAGGGGCATGATGGGGAGAATTGCAATGGGAAGAGGGCAGAATGTGAATTTTTGTTAAAAGTTGGTAAGGGAGACTGAGATTTGTGCTAAGTGGATTTTTTCTGGAGGTAAGATTTATATTAGTTGAAAATTTTGCTTGGGGGAGGGATTTGCAGGGGTGGGATTACTTACATCAAAAACCCCAACCCTGCACTCCATAGGCTGGCTTATGTGTCACATACTCCTAATCCTTGCACTCTGTGTAATACACATTCCTGAACCCTGCACTCAATGCAATATGCATTCCTGACCTCTGCACTCTGTGAAATATGCTGGTGATGTCAGTGGCAGTTAGTCAGTTCCCAGTCACACTATAAGTCACTGAGCACCGCCTTTAGTAGTATAAAAAAAATTTAATTCCCCAGTATATACAGTATAGCATAGTTTGTAGGCACTATAACGTTCACAGAAAGCAATCAATATACACCTATTGGGATTTTTTCTTTTTATCAAAATCATTTAGCAGAATATATTTTGACCAAAATTTATAAAGAAATTAGATTTTTTAAAACATTTTTTGGATGTTTTATCACAGAAAGTAAAAAAAATAATGTATTTTTTCATTTATATTGCAAAAAAAAAAATCCTAGTGGTGACCAAATACCTCCAAAAGGAAGCTCTATTTGTGTGAAAATAAAATTTTACAAAGTTTGAGTACAGTGTGTTGCATGACCATGCAATTACCAGTTGCTGTATAGCAAAAAAAAATGACCTGGTCATGAAGGGGTAAAATCTTCCGGAGCTGAAATGTTTAATTAAACAGTTCAGGCTGTAGACATAGCAGGCTCTTATGTCAGAATGTTCTGTCTATACAAGTATCATATACAATAAATTACATGGGTACTTTCTACAAAAGGTGTATTATTGACAAGCGCAAATGTCACATCTACCTGCCATTGTGTCTTGTTGACATGTCAGTCATATCAGTTAATCAGGTATGATTTTATTAGCACCCCGTTATCTCATTAGATCAGTTCTGGACTGTAGCTCATTATAACAATGATTTAATCACATCCAAAACACCTAATTATCATAATAAGGAATCATAATTCATTAATGTCATCCCCAGCATCTCAATACATTAACATACAACACAAGAACATCCCTTGGTCCTTTGTGTAAATGATGATTAGTTAGCAATGTAATGACCTTCGGTTATGTCAGTTTAGGTGGTGCCAGATGATTTTGATCATGTTGGCATGCCAGTATGCCCCCTCAGCCATAACCTGTCAGGAAACACAGACTGGATGATTGCACCGCTATCACAAGAGAGCAACATGTATACAACTTGGGACAGGGGCTCATGAGGTTTTTTTAGGGCATGGACTTAACACATGAACTCATATGCTGATTTACCCAACTTACTGATGAATGGACTATGGTGGACATAACTTAAATGTACCATTGAAAGTGTTTTGCTAAATGTGTTCAATAAGTGCAATCTCTAGCACTCATGTTCATGTGTTAAGTAGAGATGAGCGAAGTATTCAAAAATTCGATTCGACTGATTCGGCGAATTCGTGGAAAAATTTTGATTCGAGTCGAATATATTCGCTGCGAATTTAACTTATAAAAGGGTGTTTCTAGGCTTCAGAGAGACTTTATATTAGTGCAGAACACTGTACCTTTAAATTAAATGCCCTTGGAGTCTGCTGGGAAGAGAAATAATACTGACAGTCAGTAATGCACTCACATGCAGATGTGCGGTGGAGGCAGAGCAATTAGAATACGCGACTCAAGTAGACATGCAGATGACGATCTTAGAATCACCACACACTCATTTGGCAGTCACGGGGCCAAAACCAGAGTGTGGAGCCACAGTGTGGCGGTGGAGGCAGCAGCAATGGGAGGCCATACAGCACCCTATGACAAAAATGGAAACCACAGCAGTGTGAGGAGACCTGAAAGTGGCACATGGCAGAGTGTGGCGATGGAGACAGCAGCAATGGGAGGCCGTACAGGGACCCATGACACACTCTGGACCTGGCAGAAGCATGAGGAGGCGGTACAGGGGCCCATGACAGATTACGGGCCTGGCAGCAGCATGAGGAGTTGGTACGGGGGCCCATGGCAGATTACGGGCCTGGCAGCAGCAATGGGAGGCCGTACAGGGACCCATGACACACTCTGGACTGGCAGCAGCATGAGGAGCGCGGTACAGGGGGCGCATGACAGATTACGAGCCATGCAGCAGCGCAACTTGACAGAGGACGTTTCAGCTGCATGCTACGTGCTCCAACGCAATTAGGGCAGCGGTTGGACAGTATTACAGCCATGCAGCAGCAAACTTGGAACAGGAGGGCCCGTTCAGCTTCTGCACCGTCGGGTGCGTGCTCACAAACTTGTTGTCTCTTGGAAACGGATTCCAAGAAAGAATGCTGACGGAATCCGTGAAGAGGAGTAGCAGGAGAAGGAGCATCTGAACGAGCGGAATATGCCAACAAGCGACAACAGGGGCCCATGACAGATTACGGGCCTGGCAGCAGCATGAGGAGTCGGTACGGGGGGCCCATGGCAGATTAGGGGCCTGGCAGCAGCTATGGGAGGCCCGTAATCTGCCAGCACCCTATGACAAAAAATGGAACCCACCAGCAGTGTGAGGAGACCTGAAAGTGGCACATGGCAGAGTGTGGCGATGGAGACAGCAGCAATGGGAGGCCGTACAGGGACCCATGAGAGACTCTGGACCTGGCAGCAGCATGAGGAGGCGGTATAGGGGGCCCATGGCAGATTAGGGGCCTGGCAGCAGCTATGGGAGGCCCGTAATCTGCCAGGCACATGTTTGGGGCATGATTCTATGCCAGGACCCTATTGACAAAAAATTGAACCCACCAGCAGTGTGAGGAGACCTGAAAGTGGCACATGGCAGAGTGTGTGGCGATGGAGACAGCAGCAATGGGAGGCCGTACAGGGACCCATGACAGACTCTGGACTTGGCAGCAGCATGAGGAGGCGGTATAGGGGCCCATGGCAGATTAGGGGCCTGGCAGCAGCTATGGGAGGCCCGTAATCTGCCAGCACCCTATGACAAAAAATGGAACACACCAGCAGTGTGAGGAGACTGAAAGTGGCACATGTTTGGGGCATGATTCATGGCGGATTTAGTCAGTTGTGTCAGGGAACTGGTGGTTTGAAATCCAGACTAATCCACGCCTGATTCATTTTCACAAACGTGAGTCTCTCCACACTTTGGGTGGACAGTCGTGTGTCCTCCGCGGAGTTGCAATACCTCCTGCCGCACTAAACACGCGCTCCGATGCCACGCTACTGGCCGGGCATGACAGCCCTTCAAGGTCAAATTCTGGCATGGTCTCTCCACACTTTGGGTGGGACATCGTGACAGCTAGTTGGCAGAACCTCCTGCCCAAACTGCGGGTCATAGTTTCAAGGGCAAATTCAGACTAGTTGGGGCCAAAGGTCAAGTTTCGCGTTGCCCAGTAGTCAAGGGGATTGTCTACCTCGGTTGGCAGGGTGCTGTCCAAGTAGGCCTAAGCCTGTTGTTTTGAGGTCCTGCTCCAGGTCCACCTGATGCTGCTGCTGCTGCTGCGGCTGGTTAGTAGTTTCCTCACTGCGCTGGTGAAGAAAGCTACTCATCATCGACTGCAGACTGCAGGCAGCTGCTGCTGGTGGAGCTGCCACTGCTCCTACCACCACACCCCTCCCCTGCTGCCATGGCAGCGGAACGCGGAGCTAGGGGAACCATTACAGCTGCACAGGGCCCACAGTGTCTGAGGATGGACGTTGGCGCACAGACAGGACAGAGACCAGCTGACTACATAGGTGGTTGTTTATAGTACGTTATTTTGGCCTCCCTCTCAGCAGGTGTGAAAAAGGCCACCCACCATTGAAACGGTAGCGAGGGTCAAAACAAGGTGGACAGCCCAACAAGTTGTTCCTACGGACGTGTGCCGCGTGACAGGCAATGAGACCAGTATACTACATAGGTGGTTTTTATTAGTACGTTATTTTGGCCTCCGCTCTCAGCAGGTGTGAAAAAGGCCACATTTTTGAACGGTAGCGAGGGTGTCCCAACATCCCTCTGTCTGATGGTTATTATTCGGCTGTCGGTACGCAAGCAAGCGAGCATGCTATGGGCCATTTGTGCCAAGGAATGCGAGGGACTCCCTGCCTCCATCTCCACAGCATACTGCCACGGTGCGTCTGGGTCCTCTGTCTCCTCTTCCTCCTCCTCTACCAGATGCTCCTGGCTCCTCCACTCCTGTCCGCTGAGTGGAAAAACCACCCATTTCACTCAATAAATTCCTGAGCACCAATGTCCTCCTCTACCTCCTCCTCTTCTTCCTGTCCTGCCCCCACAGGGGTCATGTGGCGTTGAGATCTGTGCGCCACGTCTACCATGACCAGCCATTGTTAACATTTGTTTAGGATTTGTTCATCCCATAGTCCTGCTGACTCCGTTGCAACAGAGGAATGACGCGTTCATCCCTTAGTGCCCTGCTGACTCACGAATAGGCGAGCCTACCTTCAAAGGGTGTTTAGGGGACGCAGCAACTAAGAGGAAATCGTCGTTCAAACCCATAGACCCTCTCACGTTGAATAAAGGGCCTGACAAGCGCAGGTGTCACGCATGAGCTGCCAATGGCTGACATCTAAGTTACACAGGGGAGTACCTTTATCCGCTTTTAACATCAGGAAATCTGTGATGGCCTTTTGCTGTTCGTAAAGGCGGTGTAACATATGTAGGGATGAATTCCACCTTGTTTGGCAACGTTCACAGCATGAGGAGTCGGTACGGGGGCCCATGGCAGATTACGGGCCTGGCAGCAGCAATGGGAGGCCCGTAATCTGCCAGCACCCTATGTCAAAAAATTGAACACACACCAGCAGTGTGTGTGAGGAGACCTGAAAGTGGCACATGGCAGAGTGTGGCGATGGAGACAGCAGCAATGGGAGGCCGTACAGGGACCCATGAGAGACTCTGGACCTGGCAGCAGCATGAGGAGGCGGCCCCGGTATAGGGGCCCATGGCAGATTAGGGGCCTGGCAGCAGCTATAGGAGGCCCGTAATCTGCCAGCACCCTATGTCAAAAAATTGAAACACACCAGCAGTGTGAGGAGACCTGAAAGTGGCACATGGCATGAGACACTGTGGACCTGGCAGCAGCATGAGGAGGTGGTATCAGGGGCCCCATGGCAGATTTGGGGCCTGGCAGCAGCTATGGAGGCCCGTAATCTGCCAGCACCCAATGTCAAAAAATTCAACACACCAGCAGTGTGAGGAGACCTGAAAGTGGCACATGGCAGAGTGTGGCGATGGAGACAGCAGCAATGGGAGGCCGTACAGGGACCCATGACAGACTCTGGACTTGGCAGCAGCATGAGGATGGCGGTATAGGGGCCCATGGCAGATTTGGGGCCTGGCAGCAGCTATGGGAGGCCCATAATCTGCCAGCACCCTATGTCAAAAAATTGAACACACCAGCAGTGTGAGGAGACCTGAAAGTGGCACAAGGCAGAGTGTGGCGATGGAGACAGCAGCAATGGGAGGCCGTACAGGGACTCATGACAGACTCTGGACCTGGCAGCAGCATGAGGAGGCGGTATAGGGGCCCATGGCAGATTAGGGGCCTGGCAGCAGCTATGGGAGGCCCGTAATCTGCCAGCACCCTATGTCAAAAAATTGAACACACCATAGTGTGAGGAGACCTGAAAGTGGCACAAACATGGCACAGAGTGTGGCGATGGAGACAGCAGCAATGGGGAGGCCGTACAGGGACACCATGAGAGACTCTGGACCTGGAAGCAGCATGAGGAGGCGGTTATAGGGGCCCATGGCAGATTAGGGGCCTGGCAGCAGCTATAGGAGGCCCGTAATCTGCCAGCACCCTATGTCAAAAAATTGAACACACCATAGTGTGAGGAGACCTGAAAGTGGCACATGGCAGAGTGTGGCGATGGAGACAGCAGCAATGGGAGGCCGTACAGGGACCCATGAGAGACTCTGGACCTGGCAGCAGCATGAGGAGGCGGTAAGGGGCCCATGGCAGATTAGGGGCCTGGCAGCAGCTATGGGAGGCCCGTAATCTGCCAGCACCCTATGTCAAAAAATTGAACACACCAGCAGTGTGTGAGGAGACCTGAAAGTGGCACATGGCAGAGTGTGGCGATGGAGACAGCAGCAATGGGAGGCCGTACAGGGACCCATGAGAGACTCTGGACCTGGGCAGCAGCATGAGGAGGCGGTAGTACAGGGGCCCATGGCAGATTAGGGGCCTGGCAGCAGCTATGGGAGGCCCGTAATCTGCCAGCACCCTATGTCAAAAAATTCAACACACCAGCAGTGTGTGAGGAGACCTGAAAGTGGCACATGGCAGAGTGTGGCGATGGAGACAGCAGCAATGGGAGGCCGTACAGGGACCATGAGAGACTCTGGACCTGGCAGCAGCATGAGGAGGCGGTACAGGGGCCCATGGCAGATTAGGGGCCTGGCAGCAGCTATGGGAGGCCCGTAATCTGCCAGCACCCTATGTCAAAAAATTGAACACACCATAGTGTGAGGAGACCTGAAAGTGGCACATGGCAGAGTGAGTGGATGAGACCGCAGCAATGGAGAGCCGTACA